CTTCACTCCCTCGTCCAAGTCGCTGATGAAGACATTGAAGAGTATCGGCCCAAGGACCGAGCCCTGCGGGACCCCACTGCCCACACCCTTCGAGGTCGATTCCGACCTCTCCACTACGACTCTCTGGGTACGACCCTCTAGCCAATGCGCCACCCACCAGACTGCGTAGTCATCCAAGTCACAGCCTCTTAACTTGTTCACCAGTATGGGGTGGGATACCGTATCGAAGGCCTTCCTAAAGTGTAAGTCAACCCCTACTCCTGCGTCCAGGTGTTTTGTAACCTGGTCATAAAAAGAGACTAGATTAGTTAGGCATGATCTACCTGCTACGAACCCGTGCTGGTTTCCCCTCAGCATAATTTTTTCTGCCGGGCTCTCATAAATGTGAGCCTTGATAATTTTTTCAAAGACTTTGCCTAGGATGGAGGTGAGTAGTTGCCTGGGTCCTCCTTCCTCCCCTTCTTGAAAATGGGGACCACATTGGCCCTTTTCCAGTCCTCTGGGACCTGGCCCGTGCACCATGAGTGTTCAGATATTCCCGCCAGTGGCTGCGCAATGACGTCAGCCAGTGCCTTTAGTACCCTCGGATGGAGCTCGTCCAGGCCTGCCGACTTAGTTTCATTGAGACTGTGTAGATTGAATTGATAGGCAAGGGAGCAGACATTCACTTTTGATTCCAGAAATGCAGCCACATGGCTGCAGTGGTCCAGGCCAGAAGTGGGGGTGGCAGGCTCACTAGAGCACAACCTCTCTGCTGGGCTGGAGCAGACAGCTTGGGCCAAAGCTAGCCCACCCAACCTGTGAGAGGGGTTTACAAGGGAGGTGCAAAGGATCCTGGGATGCTGGGGGATTGGGAAATAACTTGAATCTGGAGGGGATCTATGATAGAAGTTCAATAAACAATTTAACCTAAATCAGTTAAGTCTGATACTACATGCATCCACGTTTGTCTTAAATTGTTTTTGTCCATTTTGAAAGCAATTTATATGCACTGAACTTCTGTTGTGTTACATATGTGAACTGATTTCCAATCACCTTATACCAGTTTCTGTGTAATTTCTGTCCCTAGCCAATATGCATTCTTTATTGGTTGTGCAAAATGAATGAAGCGATCCACTACCAAGCAACTTTGAATCCATCACTGAGAATTGTTAGAAAAAAAACAAACCCAAATCAAACCTACCTGGGAGATATTTGAGCAGTGACAGATTGGGTAGCTCCTTGTGGGAAGGAGAGATATCTTATGTCCATTCAGATACTTGTGCACCAGCAGCCTGTTTTCTAGACAGCAGGAAATGCCTGCTCTCTGGTGGGCAGAGCATAGTTCCCTTTGCAGGGTTCTTATGTCCTTCGAGGGCAGCTCCACAGGATGCTACATATGAGGGGGTAAACCTGCCTCTTTAGAACTCTTTGTACTCTATAGGAGGGAAGGAGAAGCCTTCCTCTGCCTTTTTCACTTCCCCACAGCTGTGTAAGAGCAAGCTGGAATCTGTTGCTAAACTAATATTAAAAGGGTTAATCTGTAACCCAGGTGTATCTGTTGTAGAGGCAAAGAGCTGAAGCCTGAATGACAGCTTTCTGCCTTGTCAATACAGGGTCTTCGTAAAGTCCTTGTGCACTTTCAAACTTTAGTAACTTAGGTTGTTCACAAGGACTTTATGAAGACCCTGTATAGTCTCTGAAGCTTGGGGATGGCAGCGGGTAAATGTGCAGTCCTCCATCTGAATGTTTTGGGGAAGCAAGGGATTTTGAACAACATTTTTCACAAGCCGTATCCTTTCATGGCTTCTGAAAAGTAAAAACTCCTTTTTCCTATTTCAGGTCTGTTTCATATTTAGGATAGAAAAGATGGAATAAGCAGGATAAAGTAAATTCATAACTTGTCATCAATATGAAAAAAATGCCAAATGTTCAGCCTCTTGTATTCAGAGCTATAAAAATGCTGGCCTTGCTATGTTGTGATCTGAAAGCCAGCAAAATAAAAATGAAGTAGTTAGAAGAGTTTCAAGTTAATCCTATTTTTATCAAAGGAGATATCAGGTTTATCACTACTATTCAGGTGTTACAGGTGTTTGTTTGTTTTTAGGCTCTTTATTTGTATCTGTTTTGTCACATGCGTATTAGCAAGGAAGGGAATAGACCATGTGCAGTGCAGGACTAATGAATCACAGATGTAAAGATTTTGGTATTTACCATCTAATAACTTTTTAACCTCATGTGGTGCAATAAGACAAATGCAAATTCAGTGCATATGTTCTCCAAATTATGCATCATTCATGTATTTGTTAGCACTATGTTTGTAAATGTTTGGTGTTTTTAGTTTGTAAGAAAAAGAGAAAGATACAATTAAGTAAACAATATACATTTATTCTCTCAATTTAGTCAGAAAAATTTTGCAAGGCCAATAACATTTGCTTTCTTGCTGTATACTGTGAGGGGCTGAGCCTCTTCTCTTTTCACTGGTGTCATAACACCATGGAAGTCAATAAAGTAATGACAGTATGAAACTAGGTTGGGAGGAGGGTAAGGTGCAATTCAAATGCACCAATGAAGAAATAGGTGTCAAACAACTGATATACCTTTATTTGTAAATAAAAACCATAAATCACTGTGATCAAAAGAGGGAGAAATAGAACTACCATTTTTAACGGGAAAAGAGCCTGCTGAGGCTTAAAGCATCTGTCAGGCTAGTGTCCTCAGATGCTTTAAATAGTTTAAAGACTATCTAAAGACTAGAAGATGTTTTTCCTTTTAAAAAAATCTCTGTAGAAAAGAGAAAAAAGGCCCTTTCTCCCCCTTTGCCAAAAGGTCTAACTTCAACCCTCCAATGCAATACTGGAAAGGTGTAAATTGAGAGCAAAATTCACCTGTCACATCTCTCACGGCAGGTTATGATTCCAATATTCTTCTCTCCCTGCATCAGTACTATGGGAGCAACACATGTAAGGAGAGTTTAATATAAGAGTCAAATCCACCATAGGAATCTGAGAGGAGAATTTTGCCTCAAATATAGAGATAATGCTGTATGTATGTCAAGAATGTTGATATCAACCATTCTGGGGGCCTCCAGATCAAGCAGTAGACCTCTGTTCAATGTGTATTATTGTGTATGTACTACCAGTTCATGTGCTGGATGTCATATGTTAAGCAGAATATTGGTGGGAAAGTAACAGCAATAATAGAAAGTGGTTGCAGGTTCTGCAGTGATCCACAGACAGAGCTCTGTACACAGCTCTCTAGAAGTATCTTGGCATGTTTTATTTGAAAAGGCTTACTTCTGAAGTCAATTTATAGCATAGCAGCTGTCAAATGTTCATAATTACCCATAATAGCATTTAATATCCCATGTTTTTTTCTCTGTAAAACCCCTTTATTAATCTTGCAATTTGCAAAATAATCAACTAAATCTCTGGTATTCTGCTCACCTTGTTCTGTTCCCCATATGACAGACAAAGCTGTTGGTCCGGTAATAGACAGAGAGACATACTAAACACAGTGTTTGTTCTGTTTGTCCATTAGCAGATTGTCTATGTGACGTTCTGTGTTGTGTCGTTTTGGTACCATGTTATGCTGTGTCCCTAGGGTCTGCCAGGCTTCCCCACAGTCGCTGCTCTGCACAGTAATCAGATCCTCACCGTCAAGGTTTGTGGCTGACGTACTTCCTCAGTCAGATCTCTCTGCATCAGCATCTGAGTGCACGTGAAGGTTAATTTTGCCATGGAATACCAAGCAGTCCCTGCAGTGGGTCCAGTTCGGTGCTCTCTGATTTTACACAAGTACAACTCCACTGATTTCAGTCAAATTACTCATGATATGCAGTGTGATTGAAATTAGGATCCAGCCTTCCGCATATTATCCACATCACACCTGCTTTTGATGGACATTTTGATGAACCTTTATTATGTTTCTGGTTAAATAAGCCATAAAAGAGCATGGAAAATGTCAAACTTTTATATATCAGGCACCTAATGAGCATATGCAGATTCAATTATCTGTTTATGTATCATGCATCAGGGGTTTCACTTGAACACTTGAAAGAACACTTTGACAAAACTGTAAATTAAGCATGAAAGATATAAGCAATCTAAGTATGGACTTCAGTCTTCATTAGAATGGCATCGTTCTTCATGGCACAAATATGCTGTTTGGAAAATCTGACTGAAAGATGAACTGGTGCTTTGTCTGTAGAATCTTTGCTGAAAGATCAGCACATAAGAAATGTGCTCGTTTTAGTTCCCTGGGTTTATATAAAGAAAAAGCACAGAAACTACTACAAGAATTGATGTGAAGAAAACCTGCTATATATTGCCTACAATTAGCACATTACTAATAAAGATATTTATATAAAGATATCTAGTGATTTTAGCTGTTAACTTCTTTAAAAGAAAAGGCACAGATTTTTCTTAGACATAAGCACCAGTTTATTTTATATTAGCTGCTATAAATCTAATGTATATATCTTTATTTCTTTCTTGGGGCCTTCTGATGTCTATTCTTCAACTCTCTCATCTCTGAACTTCAACCTTTGACCTCACCTGCCTGATCAGATGGTGTTTCCTAAAATCAATCATGGGTTTCTCTCTGCTGATCAGCAGCTCATTAAACGCCGCCTCATTAAGGTAGTGCTTAATCTTGCTGGAGTCTGGTTCTTCTTTACATTTAATTTTTTACTCTGTACTGTACTTTTTGTCAGATGCCTTCTTATTTCACGTTAATCACTAGAAAATATCTCAGATCCACAGATTTTTTAGTGAAATAGATTTGTGTGTAAACCAAGTGGAAATTATATGGTGCTTTGCTAAAAAGTTCAGATTTAAAATTCAGCTAGTGAGGCTTGTTTTCAGTGGTTTGCAGTAGTCTTATGCTGGAAACAGTAATACATATTACTATTTTTGGATGGAAGATAATGTCCTTCCACAGTCTTCTTTGTAAATTAGATTATTACAAAATGAACTTGTCTAAACCATTAAGATACCCACTTAATTATCACTTTAAAACATCTGCCAAAAACAGATGAAATAGATGAACAGCTTTTCAGCTAGGCAATTTTGTTGCATCCTCATTTTAGAACTGTTAGTGCTTCATTGTTGATCCTTACAAAACTGCCATGCCATTTTAACAGCTCTCTCGCACACACTTACTTCTTCAACCTTTGTCATGATGGTAACAAAGGCAAAGTGAATGCTTTAACTGCTCATTCAAAACGATGACATGCTTTGGACAATGGTCACATGCTTTGGGTGAGTAGAGTTTTGTATGGCAACCCACTACATCAGTGTATGTCCTTCATTGGACAAGTAGTTCAGAACTTGAGCCTCACACTGCGTGGTTTGTTCCACTGCAGATGTGTGGCACCCTAGTCTTCAGAGGCAAAGTTCAGTCTGTGTTATAAGCAATGAAGAAGCTGTGATCCATGCTCGAAATGAGCATCCAGCACAGCAACAGCTGTTTCAGCCCATCATGAACTAGTTCTGGGTAAATCAGTGTCTTGGTGTTGGAGATGGTACAGTTGAAGACAAACTTCTAATGATGATTTTGTTGACTTCTGTTCAGGGGGACCAAGGGCAGGCTGGACCCCCTGGTCCTCCAGGGCCACCAGGACCCCGAGGTCCTCCAGGAGATACTGGGAAAGATGGGCCCCGAGGGATGCCTGGAGTACCGGTGAGTTAGCTTCAAGTCTGTCTGTGGTGTCTGAGTACTGCTCAAGTGCTCCTGTGAAGTGGAAAATATTAATGGAGAAACAAAAATTATGTGACATTTACAATAAAAAGTAAGTCGCAGGGCCAGGAATAGTAGTACCCACGTAAGCTGGCTTCTTCAGATTCAGAGATTTCTAGATTGTTTCTTCTTATTTTAAACATTGCAATGCGGGACAGCCCCCTTTGTAAGCAAGACAAAAATGTTTCCATTCAGCTCTTCACTTAAAACTAAGCTTGAAACTAGATCATTACATGTGCTAGTTTGACTTTTAATCCGCTAATGAAGATTAATATTCAGAACTCATGAAATTGGAGAAAATGGATTATTAAGCTCTGTGTGAAGTATGATGCTATGCTTCAGTTACTCTTTCCTTAAAGTCATATTCTGCCATCCTTGCTCAGGCTAGAGCAGTACCATATTCTTCAGATAGTCCATATGTTTCAGTGGGGCTAGTAATAGAATAAACTAGTATTCATCATTGGTTCAGGAGGCAGATCTGGGCCCTTAGCTGGAAGTCTGAGTGTTAAAACTTTTTTTTTTTAAACCAAAACATAAATGCAGAAGTTGTAGGACTGTATATTTAACAACCCTTGGAAATGCCTTGAGATTAAACTTTTGTGAACTACTAAACTCTTTATTGTTTTGAAAAGAGAGAACCCCCCGCCCTGCATCTTTTCTTAGTCTTACAGGAAATAGAAACGATATTGCAAAGAAAAAATCATGCTTCCACATGTGGGGCCAGAACAGGAAAGCATACGTTCCCTACAGGGTCCTTTTTGGTAAAACCAAAAAAGGAAATACATCCAAGCTCCTGTTCTAATCCTATTTTGAGTGCCTTATCTAAACATATATTAACTGAACAAATATGTAGAACATGACATAATGATGACATTTCAACTCTGTTTAAACTGTCCGGGGAAATGCAACAAGACTTGACATACAAATGCCTTATGAAAGCTGCCTTGAAAAACCTTTGATTAGAATATGGTTGTTATTCTACTGCCATCCCTTTTTGATACTTTGGATTGACTACCTACTTCTCCTTGCCAGTGCTGCATAACTCCTGTGCTGCTAAAAAAAAAACTTTGGACCCTATTTGAATATCCTCTGAAATTTTACACTGGTACAACTTCATTGCCTTCAGAGGTACTAAGATACTGTATTACAGTAGGGAGAGGTAGTTAGACTTGCGAGCCTGAAGCTAGGCAAAAGGCAGGGCAGGGTGACACCTTGGGGTGCCTGTACATGAGCATGGAGGCTGCTCCTACACACTGTAATTACAGACCATCAGAGTAGACTCAATTAGTCAAGTCTGCTGGAGTGTGGTAATTACTGCGCTCCAGCCATCCTCTGCGTCTCATGCATCAGTGTCCCCACGCTTCAAAACGGCGGCAGGGGAGTTTGAACTAAAGCTTGTTGAATGGGCTTTAGACAAAGTGCTCCTGCTGCTGTTTTGAAGAATGGGGAAGCTGATACACAAGACGTTGCAGTGCTTTAATTACAGCAGCGCTCAGAGCCGCTCTAATTAAAGCACCTCTTATCCCACCCCACCCCATTCACCCCCTGCAGCCTACTTAGTAAGTCACTCTGCCCTACCTTCTGTGTTACAGTAGCGTAGGTCAGATGAGGATTATAACTGCTTCCTGTCTGCAGCAGTTTCAAGAAGTTCCAACTTGGTGGCTACCTGTATTTTTAAATACCTAAATACCTTTGTAAACCTGGTCCCAAGTGCCTCCTGTCAGATGTTAAGCATCCCTACAAAATAAGTGCAGATGGGGCTGATACTCCTGGATAATGACCTACTATGGGTCTCCCAAGTAATGCAGCTGCAGAAGTTACAGCAGTTTAGAGTTTTATAATGCTCCCTCACTAATTACTGCATAATGCTACTGTAGATGTTTTGCATCTGTCTGGGGCTGCTTGTCTCCCAGAGCAGACATAACCTCTGCCTTCAGGCTCCTGGGAGTGACATTTCCAGATTCCTGGCATCCTGACACCACAGCTTTTACTTCTGTAGCTGATTGACTGATATTTAGTTCGACAGAAAAAAATTATAAAGTGGGTACAAGGCCCAAAGACAAAAGTATCTACCTGGCTCTCTTCCTCTTTCATATGGCATCACAGATCAACTTCCAAATCTATGAGCCACTGTTTGGGATTGTAGCTCAATATACAGATTCTGGCAACCCTGTCTGGGCATTGGTAGAGATATTGCAACTTTAGATTAAGTGCTGTGCTGTTTGTTGAGCACTGTGTTCACACAGGGGTCAGTCCAAGGTGTTCAGCTTCTGAGGTGCTGTTTTGAAGCATCTCTGTCCAGATCTCAGTCTGTTCAGCTTGACCCATTCTTCTCTGTCAAGGTCGTGCCCAATGGGGGCCTTGTTTGGTGTTGCTATAAAATGCAGTAGGAATAGATCTGACCTTTCCCAGCAGTTGGCCCACTCTGTTGCCCTCCATAGGTTTGGTTCAGCATCCCCAGTCTCTTTCAGGAGTTTGTGGGCTTCATGTACAAACAGTTTATGACTTTTGAGCCTCTTAAGCCTCCATCTGGTCAGGTCTTCAGTTAATAATTGATTGAGCAGGTGATTGTTGTTGTCTCTTGCCTCTGTTGCCAGTAATGATGTTAGGATCTGTCTTCTCATATCACTTGGTTTAATGCCTGACAGTACAGGGAGGACATCTGTGTGTGTATAAGTTGTGCAACCTGTTACAAGTCTCAGTGCACTGTTAAGTACAGTGTCAAGCTTTTTCATGTGACAACTTGTGGACCATACAGGAACACAGTATTCTCATGGGGCATATACCATTGCAAGTGCAGTGGTTCTGGGCACTTTGAAGTTGGCACCCTGTGCTGTGCTGTCTAAACATCTTAAGGCAGCTACCCATGCAGAAACTTTACTGCTGACCTTCTGGATGTGATGTTTATGGGTGAGGTAACAACATAATGACGCCCAAGCGTCAGTGCTACCACCAGTACTTTTCAGTGTATATATCTCAGACTACCCACATACAATATCTAAGCAATATGTGCACTCTGATGATGTCACTATAGTTGCCAAAGGAACAGACGACAGAACTGGAAAAGACACTGAGTACTGACATGGAACTCATCACTGACTATCTCCACAAGTGGTGCTTTCAGTTGAGCATCAACAAATCAGTGTCATCACTCTTCCACCTGAACAACTGTTGAGTCAGGAGCATGTTGAATATCAGTGTAGGCATCTACACTTTTCCTCATAAGCATACCCCAAGCTACCTTTGAGTTGCATTAGTTTTACCAGGCTGACAGCTTCATTTTGATTTAAAATACAAGTGGACCTGAGGTCACATTGGTCATACAAAGTCAACAAAACAGTGACAAGGGAGTGTAAGAACAAGGACACTCCATAATTCCATGGCTGAGTGGCAAAGACCCTGTCAGCCACTGCCGCCTCTACCAAACTCCATTCAAGAATAATCATCAGTGGGACCCAGCACTCTGCCTCCTCTGTGACTCTATTTAAAAGAAAAACAACCAATGGATGGGCCTTCCTCTAGTTCCTATGGTTTCTGTCTCCCTGCCTGAAGAGGCAACACCAGAGAGTCATACCAGCACCAACACTAGTGATTTCCCAGTGATCATGTCCTACAGCACAGCATGTGCATCTGGAAGCACAGAAGGCTTTTAAATTTTGGGCATCTAGCAGATTGTGAAGTTATGTCTACCCTGAAGTCTGAAGGCACCATAGCACATGTTTCGGTGCATCTTTGTAGAGTCATTCAAGTGCTTACTTGGAACTGAAACCAATGCTCTGATGGCTTCACTCTGTTCAGGTGGTTAGTGCAGGCATGTTTGTTTGTGTTGCAACCGGCACATCCAGATCCTGAGAAAAACTGAGACAGTTCTGATTCTGTTTTGCTTCTTTCCCAGAAAGCTCATCAGCAATACCTTGTGTCTTTGTACCGCTGCTGAGCATATGAAAATGTTCATGTCCTTTAGCGAACCTGTTAATCCTTTTGTGACTTGCTCAATGTGAGACTGGATTTGGGAATTTATTCCTTCCCTCTAAAAAGTAGTTTTTAAAGCACACAAAGTTGTTTTATGTATGTATCCTTAGACTCTTTTTTTACATTTCAGAATAATTTGCAGCTACATGCTATATAGTAGACCTGAACTGCCTTTTGCAAATTCAAACATAAACACATTACATTTTAAGAAGTTCAAGGTTGAGATTTTCAAAGCTACAGAGCCCCTATTAATTCCTAAGGCAATTGTGTGGGTAAAATCCCTAACTGGTTTTGAAAATCTCAACCCTGAACTTTTTAATATTTAATATCTTAATGTTTGAATTTGCAAAAGGCAGTTCAGCTCTATTACCACAGAATACAGCATGTAGCTGCAAATTATTCTGAAATGTAAAAAAAAATAAAAATAAAAATCTAAGGATGCATATGTAAAACAACTGCATGTGCTCTAGAAACTACTTTTTACAGGGAAGGAGTGCTATCTATCTGTTTATTAGAACAGAAGGGGTATCAGCATACTTGGTATTTAAGAATCACTGAATTGAGAGAGTAATTTCATTAAAAGACTGAAAAATAAATATCAATTCTTTGAGACCAGCATGGGCATGATTTGGGCCTGTTAGATTAACAGCCAGAAATAACAGTAATGTATATTAGATGGTCATAGAGCTGTTATATGTGCTTCAACACATATTTTGATGTAATTTAAGTTGCTTTAATATTAATAAATAGAAATTAAATGTAAATCACATTATTGATATTGATCAAATCTATGTTTAAGGGAGAGCCAGGAAAACCAGGCGAGCAAGGATTGCTGGTAAGTACCTGTTTCTTCTGTTTCCTGATTCCTAAACAGTTTAAATAGTTCTGTGGTTTTATTTTATTCCCTCAACCCTTCTTTGTCACAAGCCTATTTGGATCTGCACTTGTAAGGAAAGTACAGAATGACAATGAGGGCCAGATGGTTCTCTCAACTTGCAGAAAGAGTTGGAAACCAAGATAGGAAATGGGGAAATAGGCCAGCTGCATAATGTTCCACTGCCACAGCCCCTATGTATGACTCCTTCCAGAGTACTGAATGGTAGACTATCTAGTCACTCTTGCATGGGGCCAAATCCCCATCTATCTTTGTGGTTACAGTCCTGAGCCCTTTTCTGATGGAACCCTACAGAGGAAATATCACAGTCGAAACATGCAGAGTATTATTCTGTCTGTGAAGTTTATTACTCCTATATATGGGAGAATCTGCCTATTCATTCAGTGGTGATATGAGGGCTTTTTTTACAAGCATACTGATTTGAGAATAGATGTTTTCTACTGCATCAAGAAAACTAACTCTATTCAGTTTGAAATAAAATGAGTTCCATTGCTTTAAAAAAGTCCGCTGAGGAGATCAAATAGTGTCTGGCTAGTATGCACACAGTAGGTGGTCCATTCACAGCTTCTTACCCTGTGAGGTCTTCCACTGCAGTGCGGGTCATTCTTTTTTTCGTATAAGAACTGAGCAAATCACAACCCAAGTTACTCTTTAGGTAAAACGACCATTGGTTCAGGAATCAGGTGTAAATTGTGCGGGCCGGGAGCGACCCGAGCCCTTTTCCGTGCTGCACGCGGGCTGTGGCCAGCAGCCCGGGCACGCCGGGTCGGAGAGGGAAGGCCATCGAGCTGGAATTAGGCACAAACGCGTATCGGTAGTTTTAAAGATTGTTTACTTACACCGAGATGGCAGTGGTGTAGGCTGGAAAGCTTGATTAAGTTGCAGTTACAGACAGACAACACAGACGGTCTCGTGGAGGTTGCTAGGCTCCACGGTGCAGAGCTCCGGATGCTCTGGGTGAACGAGCCACCAAAATGGGAATCGTAGGTACGTCTTATAAAAGTCGCGCTCGAAGACGGGAAGAGGTGGGCGGTGGATCAGGTCGCCAAGCTCCTCTGGATCTCACACAGGGTTTCTATTACCCTGCCGTGTACCCAGAGTCCCCATGAGATGGATGTGGAGTCCTCTTCGGCTTGGGCGGAAACCGCTCAATCGTTAGCCGCCACGTGTGAATAATTTAGCACTAGCCAATCACGGGGAATGAATTTGCATACTGGTGGCGGGAACTCTTTTGCACCGTGCATTCCTCTTGCAACTTGAGCAATGCACTCTGCAAAAGAAGCTGCAGAAAAGGCGGAAAACTCGTCCCTGCACCGGGGTTTCCTCTGCAACAGGAAACTCTCCCGTGCAATGCTCTGCAACTTGGCAGGGATAATTCTGGTGCCGAAGCACGCACAAAATCATGCCTTTTGGGTCATGACATAAATTAGTTTGAATTTTTAAAATTCAAACTGAACTTCTGCAATTTTGAGCAGATGTGCTGATATTTTTACCAAGACAAACTTCAAATTATTTTGGTAGCAGCAGGTACATAATCTTAGAGGCTGGTGAAACAAAAAAAGAACATTTCTAGACTCTGAAATACCCTGCTGGGATCAGGCATTTAAAATCCTGGGGCTTGTTCATTTGAACATAATGATTTATTTTTAAAGTGCCAACCAATATTTTAATTAGTTTTTTTTTTCTCCTGTGCCTGCCTTCTGGGTTTTGATTGCTTATCCATAATAATGTTTAAAATAGCTTTGGAAATGTTGCAGTGATGTGGTGCAGGAATTATGTGAGCGGCAACAATTTGGTGAGTGGTATCTTTTATTAGACCAACTGGTTGTGATAGATTTCAGCAAGCTTTCAAATGCAAAGCATTCTTGATGAAGAATGCTTTGCATTCAAAAGCTTGTCTATCCAACCCAATTGGTCCAACAAATTGTATCATCCACAGAAATCCTTGCCTCTTGCATTATAGCTTTGAGGGCTTTTTAGGCCTACTGTAGAGCTCTTCTGCTTGTTATTTTAGTGCACTATGGGTTAAGTTTATATAGGCTCTTGACATAGGGTCACCACACTGGATAATATTTGTAGCAGTCCAAGGTACCTACAACTGTTTTGCCACTGGTGACCAGAGGTGGAGCCATCCATCCCAAAAATAGAAGTAGTAAAGGAGAAAGGAGAGGAATAGGATCAAAAGCACTGTGGATGCTCTCATCTATAGTATCCCCTCAGCATCATCTGCTAGGAGACCTTTAATAAGGTCTCTATAAAAAAATCATACAGCTTCTCTCAATTCAGTAGCATTTGTCTTTTCCAGGGATGATCCACTTTAGATGCAGCAGTCTTCTTTGACACAAATTACAGTGAGAAACAGTTATTGGCACACAGATATGTGTGAATAACCATCTCAGGAGGATGTTAACTCTGAAACCAAAGATGACTATTTAAATGTCAACATTATTAACCTTTTAATTATTTTAATTTAATTTCTTTATTAAAAATCCATACATAAACTGTATGCACCTTGACAATAAGAGTCACCAGTAGTATAGTTTACTAATATACTGAATACATTATCAGCCAGCTTCCTCAAAAAAACAAATAAAAACCCACAAATGAAAATAGTTGCTTACTTAAATATATATACTACTGATCAATTTAACATTAACAAACACTTTAGGGGATGTTTAAACTGAGGAGCAGGGTGTTTTTTAAATCAAATTTGGTAGTTTGAGATAGCTATATTTAAAATACCACATAGCACCTACCTAATCTATATTCATTTTAACACAGTTACGTCTAGTTACGTTCTAACTTAGGGTCTAGAAGCTAACATGATTGTAACATGAAAGAGAGAGGTACTTACCCCTGTTAGTCTGAAGTCAGGCAGAAGGCAGGGTGGAGTTGCACCTTATAGACTAACTGAATCAGAGATGCAGAAGCTCATAGCATATGGTGAAGTGAGCTGTTGCTCATTGAGATTTATGCATCTCTGATTCATAGAATCATAGAAAATTATGGTTGGAAGAGACCTCAGGAGGTCATCTAGTCCAACCACCTGCTTAAAGCAGGACCACCCCAGCTAATTCATCCCAGCCAAGGCTTTGTCTAGCAGGGTGTTAAAAACCTGCAAGAATGGAGGCTCTACAACCTCTCCTGGGTAACCTGTTTCAGTGTTTTACTACCCTCCTAGTGAGTAAGTTTTTCCTAATATTTAACCTAAACTTCCCTTTCTGCTTGAAACTTGAGACCATTGCTCCTTGTTCTGTCATCTGCCACCACTGAGAACAGTCTAGCTCCATCCCCTTTGGAGCCACCCTTTCGGGTAGTTGAAGGCTGCTATTAAATCCCCCCCTCTCAGACTTCTCTTCTGCAAACTAAATAAGCCCAGTTTCATCAGCCTTTCTTAATAAGTCATGTGCTTTAGGCCCCTTACCATTTTTGTTGCCCTCCACTGGACTCTCTCCAATTTGTCCACATCCTCTCTGTAGTAGGGTGCCCAAAACTGGACACAATACTCCAGATGTGGCCTCACCAGTTAGTCCATGAGGTGCAGCTCTAGCCTACCTTATGATTGTAAAAGTGGATTTATACTACTTGTTAAGTGATATTTTCAAATACAATAATTATGTCAAGAGAAAAGTCAGATTTCCTGATTTAGGCATGCCTTTACTGCCTATTCCACCTTCCCAAACCATCTCTCATACCTACCCAGGTGCAAAATGCCCCAACTATTCCTACCAAGTTCTTCCTTTGACTCTTCCACTGTGGTTATACATGACACCTGAAAGCTCAAAACCTATTTTATAATTTCTTATCTCCAAAATGTCAGAGACCTTGAGCACAGAATTTAGGTCCAGTTTCCAGTGGAATGTACAGGACCTTGCTTTTGAGTAGTTATTCCTCCCACACCATCCATGTCTATGATTTTCTGCCAAGAGGAATTTACAATCTACCTCTTCTACTCTTACTCCTAAATTATTCCCCTTTATGTCTTAATATATAGGCTGCAGCTATAAGGTGCTGTGCTGTGTCTTGAAGGATAAACTCGTAATAAAACTAATATTAAAATCCATAGAATGGCTCAAAAACGCTGAGGACTGAGCTTTGCGTTATTTGAATGGGAATTACAACATCTACCTTGTGTGGGAGTTGTGAGGCCTAATTTTGGTCAAGTGCCTTGATGTCCTCAGATGTGCAAAGCATTATTAGAATCGGAAACTAAGATTCCAGCTGTTGGGATTATGAACCAGCTACTGCACAGCTTGAAAATATTTAGATTTGCTGTTTTCTCCTCTCACAAACAGTAAGGCATGCAAGTTTCTGAGTGGAATAAAACTCCTGGGAGAGTGACTGTTGGGAGATAATGAGGTAACAGCATGTCCTCACAGCCAGTGTCTCAGAGCGCACCCCAGGCTCATCGTTATCTCACAACAATTGCACACCATGTTGTGTGTTACTTCTTATATACTTGAGCAGGTTATGCCTTTATGCATAATACATTCTAAATCATTTTAATGCATATGAATTTGTAGGAAGAAATTTCCTGATTCAGTTAAATAAAGAGGTCCCCTGCTTTAAATGAAATTAAGACAGTTTCCACCAATTGAATATTTGCCTCCTTTTCCTTAAAAAGAAACCAACCCCCTCCCCCCAGGTCTGCATTGATTAATACACATACTTCAGATTAAATTAGGACTGGAGGGATGTTTGGCTATAACAGCATGGGGATGGGATTGTCTGTGAGGTTCTTAAAAGCTGGGGAGCAGGGGGGACTGGACCCGATGATCTCACGAGGTCCCTTCCAGCCCTAAACTTCTGTGAATCTATGAATCCGTGAGACGGGAGGGCTTGTGCTCAGACATGCAGGAGCTTAGTCCATCCCTTGTGCTTTAACATGCAAGTAGGAGCGTAGAGGGCATGACCTTCTCTTTTTCCATGGACTCACTAGG